TCGATTCAGGAACGATGAGAACAACATCATGCTTTGTGTGGAGGAGGCTGGAGACGCTGCAGGCCGCCCTGAGTTCAGCGTTTGCCTTCGCACTGCAACCGGCATGCACTCTGATTGTGGCTCAACTTGAATGAGCGTGTCCTGGCTCTGGTAGGCTTTGCCACGCTTGGGAAAGCCAAGCAAGTGGACCCGACATACAAGCGGACCATCCTCATAAGGAACAAGCTCGACAAGTGAGACCACCTGACGTGACACGTGACACGTGACAAGCACGTCAAGGACGGGAAAGCTGAAGCTGCAGGTACTACGGTGATCTGACACCGGAGAACATCAACAAATGGCGCGAAGCACAGCACTTTGGAAACGACGTTCCGCAGATTGCGCAGGATTTTGATGATTCAGGCTTGAGGGCTATGGTGACCTTCCTCAGCACTTGGCACGCTTTGCCGTGTCCTTGCCAGGAGCTAAGCGATAGACATGCCAGCTTTCTGCCTGGTAATGGTTGCAGCGTGATGCGACTTGATGCCTCAACAGCTTGTTTCCAGACTGGTAGCCCCGTTGTGTCACATTCGCGAAGGCCGCACTGGACTGATACGATGCCCAAAGCGTTCGGCGAGATGCGCAAAGACTTTTGCCTTGATTCATCCAGGGTTCGGAGCATTGAGTTTCTCGAACAGCTGCCTTGCCGTAGGAATGCGCTGACCGAGACATGGAGACGCTGGCGGCGAAGGGTGCATCTGCAAAGTAGGACGCTGAATTTCTGTCGTCTTGTCATCTAAGCACGGAGAGGTTGCACAATGCACAGACAAGGTACAAGATGACAATTGGATTTCAAAATTTCAGAAACTTCATGGAGGCTGGAGCTCGACCTCGCCGCTTTGAGAAATGCACGAGGCAGTTGCCACTTGCCATGCCCTTCGACAGATCAAGATCCAACAACTCTTTGCGGATGCATTGGCACCAATGCTGACCAGACTGAAAACTATGCAGGAGGACTGGCCGCCGGTCAGATGTGGATGGTATGCACAGTCTCTCATGGGCAGGAGCACGAGAAGAAGCTGGATGTGATCCGGCAGGAAACAGAGACGATCAATGAGGACTACTTCTGCACTTCTGTGCCTGAGATCTGTGGTTGCTGTAATGGTGTGATGCATTCAGAGGAATAGCTAGAGGAAACTTCACCAGTCCTTCGGCCCTTTCTTCGGCTCTGCAAGCCATGTATCTCTCTGCTCAGGACAACATCCTCCACGCAACGCGGTCAGCTGGAATCACGTTTGCTCAAAGCTTCATCTTCCTTATGGAGGCATCGAAGCTTTTCCAGACGCGCAGCACTGGGGGCGATCTGCAACCCTGGCGCAGGGCGCGCTGTCTTCCGAGCACAATCGAAAGACCTTGGAAGAAGAGCTCCGGTCGTTTCATGAGTGCCCTCTGTCGCACTTTCTGTCTCTGCCTGCGCGGGCCTATTGCGTTTGCGCAGCATGTTGAAGCTTCTGGTTCATGTCATAGGCGAAGCAGTTGATTAAACTAGATGTTGTTGTTCATAGCCTCCTTTTCTCAGGTGAGTTTGTGCGACTGAATCAACATTTGTTGACATCCCACGCCTCATTTCGCGGCAGGTACTGCTCGCGGACGAAGACTTTAGACGAACAGGAACTGCTTCCGGTATCCTTTGAGGACAGGCCTGTTCCCCACCCCTCCGGACACTGCACTTCTGTTTGACGCGGGCCGTGTAATCACGAGGATCTGGATTCGTACGTTGCCTACCTTCGTGATACGGTGAAGCTGCCGGCCATGGACGTGTCGCTCAACGGCGGAGCTCAGTTCCGAAGGCCCGTCCTCGAGCAAGTGAGGAGTTTTCAATATACTGCCACGAATCCATGGCAGTTAAGCTCACGGCATGTGTCAAGTTTTGCACTCGCTCCTATGGGGTGACGAGCGGTTTTCTGGTCACCCTTTGTGTGCGGTTGTTTTCTATCGAGTCGCACCGTGTCCAGCATGTTGACAGTGACTTGTGCTGCTACTTGTAGTGTTTTATCGAAAGAGGTTGGCTCTAGGAGGGCTGCAGACTGCACGCATCGCCTGCTGCAGGGTGATGTACGAGGTCGAGGTGTTCACCCGCTTCGCAGGGCTCGGCAAGAAGCTGGAGCCCGTGGATGTCATTCAGGTGCGGAATAAGACAGCAAGGCTTCTGAAGGATTTATTCTTGGAGCTCTTTTGAGGCACGAGGCTCTGGCTTGAAGGAGTGCACCTGGCAGGACAGGCTCTTGTCATTGTCTTGCGAGCTTTGCATCGCTGTCTTGGAATTCCTGATGAAAGCGGCACCATGCAGGATACCATCACACAGCTAATGATGCAGCATCCAGTCTTTGGTTTTCCTTACTTGGTGTTTGATGTCAAAGTCCGCGCAAATCATTTCGAGATGCCGTTGCATGTCTAGCAAAGGAATGCGCCCACTAGAATGCGCACAAAGACAAAATATGTCGGGGAGCGATTGAAGTTCTTCTTCGGAGAGCAGAAGGAGGCATGGTGCATCGCAGTCTGTCGTTCGGCGCTTGGCATTCGCGAACAGGCCACGGTGCAGTTCATGCTCGGACTCACAGGTTCTCCGGAGGAGCATATGTTTTCACGCTTGATTCCCAAGCAGGCCTCCGTCCAGCGCTTCGGTCACGAAAGTTCTTCTCTTTCTCGCAAGCTTACAAGCAATTGCAGGCACAGGTGATTCAGAGAAATGACACGATGAAAAGATGCATATTTGATGCTTTCGATGCTGCATGTGACAAGCATCGAATTCGATTTATGCAGAGCCGTGGATGCATACAATTTACACTGGCGCGCACAAGGACAGAGGGCTCTCGCCTTCAAGTCGTAGTGGGAAAGTGAATTCTCAGGATGTGGTGCGACTTTATGGACAGCATGTTCCAGTCGCCCCTCATGCTGTTGAAGTCCGGCTCAATGCCATCAATCGGCTCGGGCTACGAGGAGGAGATTGCCCCGACATTTGAGTCAACAAAGGCCTCCCCCCTTCTCTAGCAACTACAGCAAGTCGTTCACAATTCTAGTGGGTGCATGTGGGTTCCGGGTCTTTCATCGACAGGCGCGCATCCATCAGGAGCGAAGAGGGAGAGGTACCCTGCAGACGGCCCTCAGGCGCTTGTGAATACCTAGCAACACTAGCACCTTCTCTTTCATCCTCTTTTCCCCGTGTCTGGGAGGGAGAAAGTGAAGCAGATCCCGGACGAGGATGTAGCAGCCAAAGAGTCAGTCAAAATGGTCCAAAGGCAGGAAGCGGCGGTTGTCGCAATTCCTTGTCATGGAGTTGTCATTTGCACCGGAGCTGAAGCTGGTGTTCTGCTGTCAAGTCGAGCACCGTGTTTTTGCATGTTTGAACTTCTACCGCCTCCCACCATTCCTCGTGATTAGCTGGGGTGGCGGAGATGGATTCAAATTTGTAGGCAGGCGAGGTAGTGTACCAAGTCAACCCCGCCTCTGTCTGAACACTGTCGTGTATCTCGCTGTATGTCTGACATCGCACCTGTTCAGGATCATTGAGCAGACCTTTGCCGTCATTCGAAGTGTGTGCTCCTGAGTCAATCGAGGCATGTCTTGTTGGGCGTTGGTCCAAGACGAAACTACCCGATGGTCCTTTCGGGATCGTCCACGTCTAACTCAGCCTGCAAATGTCTGCGAACCCTGTGGCAGCCCTTCGATCTTTCGGCTTCAATGTTTGTCCGCATGAGGATTCATTGAAAGTTGTGTTTGCTCCAGCAGTTTGCTTCAGGTGGTTGCGGACCACATGCAGCTGTACTCGGAGACTCGGTCTTGTGTTCTGGAGTTGGCATTGCCAACCTTTCGGATCTTTCGTTTTTGGCAGAAACCTCTGGTTCCTTTGCCAATCTGTTGGCTGCACGGCTGTCGGACCTAGACAACAGGCCCTGCTTGTGGTCATTCGACTGGCTGGCGCTGCAACACACAACCCGTGGGCTCATTCGAGGAGTCCTTCTTCCTTCTCCCCATGCTACGACGCCTTGAAGGGGTCATGGCTGACATGCAACTGCAGGACACAGGGGACTGGGCACGAGCCAATGGCGACAAACGTTCGGAACTTGACAGGAGGAGGATAAAGAGAAGTACCGAGCGCGAAAATCCGTCCTAGAGAAGGAGAAAGCGGCGTCCGAAGGCGGCTTGACGAGGGCGTCCGTAAAATGCTCCACTGGGCTTGACTTGTATATACTTGTATCCTTGGCAGGTATGCTCGCGGACCTTACCCACTGCATCGAAGCAGTTAAAAGATTCAAGGCCGAGTTGCCTTGCTCTGTTGGCAGACCGGCCAAAGTATTGCGGCAGCTTTGCTATGCGCTTTCAGGTCACCTACGGTGGGGGGCACTAGCTGCTGGGAGCACTCGTTTTCCATTTCAGCAATGTGAGGCCTCGGCCAGTTTGAAGTGCACCCGCCTCGCAAACTGGTTCTCCAACTTCGCATGGTGACATAGGAGGAAACACACACGCGCACACTTTCTCGTTGCCCATTTTCGCATTGAGAATCACTAGTAGGGCCAGTAGGGCCACCAGAACAAGTGAAAGAAAGACCGTGTCCACAAGCTGTTGTACATTGTTCTGCATGGATACGCAAAGCTTGAACAAGACTCTCCGTGAGTACAGTAGGAGTCTACAGGAGGAGCAGGTGTGGCGCAGCTACAGCGCGTCAGCTCTGCCTAGCCGGTCAATGCGGCTTCGATTTAGAAAGGCAGACTTCCAAGAAGCTGTAGCCAAAATAAGACTGCAGAGGGAAACGGTCTGCAGATTCATCAGAGTTTCTGCTGGCACAGTCCAGACCGGTGCGACTTGCGGGCAGGATCGCAGACTGGAGGGGTGAAAGTACCTGGCCTGCCCTGGCGTGTAGACCTTTGCAACACGACATGGTTTAGTTTGCTACATGGGGCTGGAAGATCTAAGATGTGGTTTGCTTCAGCACCTGCAGAGCATGACGCAGATGGCCAGCCATGGTCCTGGCCGTGCTCCTCTCTACAGCTGTGTTGGTGGTGACAGCATGTGCTGAGAAGCTGCCTGGTTTCTAAACTTCTAAACGTTGCAAGGCACAAGCGGCGGTAAGTCTGTAGTTGCCATCCGTCGTCGTTGCACCCTTGCCTATTCTGGATGCATCCAAGGCTTCAAGTCTTTGGTCATGCGCTCAACACGGGGCAAACCATTCCACCACGGTGCGTGCAGGCCTGGTTAAGCTCACGTGCTGGCACCGCACGCGCATCTGATCCTAAAAGAGAGTTTCCCTAGTTGATGGCAGGGACACAGACTCATATCGAGCGAGATCTCTGTACGTTAAGTTTTTTCGCTAACGAGAAAGCCGCCTCGGAACTGGTCCGCACCTCGCTAGTGGAAGCCTAGGACAGAAGGGAAGCATTACTTACATTACACCTATCCAGACGCCCCGGCCGCCGGCCTCGGCAGATCTCAGGCTGTCATCAGACAAAAACCTAATCACAAGACATGATGGGCAGTGGTCCTGAAGCAGGCAGGTGGCACTAGCTGCTGATATCTGCTGATGCTGTATTGCGGCTTCACTAAACACAGTGGCACTGGAGCGGACACGAAGGGCCTGACCGGAAGGTTCAAGAATGCTTGACCCAGGGCCACTGACGGGTGACGACGTGCGGCAACGGATCGGCTTCCGAAGAACAGGAACCTATTGTACACTGGTCTACATCACAATGCTTAGGCTTTTGGAGCTTGTGTGGCTGACTCGTGAACTAGCCGGAGATGGAGAAAGGCCCACTTTAGAGCGTCGTCCTCATCCACGAGAAGAATGACGAATGCTTTTGGAGCACCGCAAGACCAGCAATCCGCGACAATCAGATCCTGGGCCCAGTGGCTCAACAGGGACCCGCGAGGGAATTCTTCAGGTCGAGAAGGTGTGATGCGGACAACTGGCTTGGCAGCTTTGAGTAAGAAGCCTCCATTTCTGAAGCCAGGTCTCTGACGCAGACTGACTAAGAGTGTTGAAGGGCATCTCGCAAACTTAACTGCGAAGGCTGATGAGACGAGTCATCTTCTCTGGGTGGATTGGGCTTTGAAGCCCCCAGGCAGACTGCTGCTGACCACCTCTCTCTGCATAAAGATCGTGAAATTTAGATAACTGCTCGTCTTTCCGCTTCTGGCCACAGGACCGGCGGCGCATGTAGTTGAGGTCAAAGTCGCCTGGCACACGACAATGCCTGTTGATCCCGAGGCTGGATTGAGCTAGTTTCAGGTCTTCCGTTGTTCTCTTGCGGCAATCGTTTCTTGTAGGAGTTGAAGCAAGGATCAGGCAGTCTTTGTCGCCCAGCTTCGCAGAAACGGTAGCACCTTCTCCCTCAAGGTGGGCTCGCTTGGAAGCCTGTCAGTGGACGGGAAGTCTTGGGGCTACAAGTGTTGGTGGCCGCACAGGACCTTCAGCGCGTGACGCTCTTCGAGGTTGATGCCATGTCCGAGGATCCGCAACACATGATTCAGGCATGTTGCGGTTGTTTGCCGAAGAGCGTCCCATGCCGCCGCGAGGAGCAGGAGGAACAACCAGCTGCCCGAGTGCTTGAGGGTGAGCTAAACCTTGCCTGGATACCCAGTCTGATGCCTGCTCGTTTGCTAGTTTCGACCTCAACAGCCTCTAGCATGAGGTCCTGGATGTCGACCGAGGGGACGTGCTCGGGCTGTTGGATTCCTGCGAAGGCCGCGGGCCTTTCCTGTAGGGTGCAGAAGGCGGGGCAGAGCAGGCGACAGAGCTCGTCAGGCATCAGCCCCCTTTCGGCACCGTGGGCTGACGGGTCCGTTGGCGGTTGCAGAGGATCACACGGGATCTCCAGCAAAGTTCGCATCTTTTACTTAGTTGATCAGACTCAGTACAACGTCGGCAAGACGGCAAGACGAGATCGCTTGCAGCGCTGATCTGAAGGCGAAGAAGAGATGCAGCACTGGGCCTTGGCATTCACCGTGGCCGCATCCTTGAGCAGAATCTTGTGTTCAGTGCTCTTGTGCACACGAGACTGGAAGCTTGCAGAGTTTCGCGTTGGGCAGGGCAGCGACCTCGTTCCAGGCACTGAGGCCCACGCGACCCTAGAAAGGAAACTCCTGCAAGGCGCGCTAGCCTGCTTCGCAGGTTGCTTTAAGCTCGGCAGCTCCGGCAATGCCTCCTGCATGGGCTGCTTCCTCAGCGTCAGCTTTACACTTTTACTCTGCGAAGAAATGAAATTGCTGGTGGTCAGAGGCATTCAGATTTCGCAGTCTTGACCCAGCAGGCGCGACGTGGGCTGTTTGCGTATGATTCGAGGGTCCAATCACTGTCCGATCCGAATCCCAGTGTCGGGGGAGGTGTCGCAGACAAGGAACGGTCAGGCCTGCACTTGCAGTGATGACATCGCTGGAGCCATAGGCTAAGCAGCTGATATGCATTTTGTCAGGTTCAGCGTTGCAGCTGTTGGCGCGAGTTTTGGAGGAGGCGCCATGCCCGTGCTATGTCGCCTTGTCAGTGATAAAGGTGAGGGCCACCCAGACTGCTGCTTCAGGCAAAATGCTCCAACGAAGACAGCCTTCTGAAGAATCTTCGGAGTTTGTCAGGATGTTCCTGGGTGCTGCGGCCTCAGGATTGCTTGCCGAGCTGACAAACGCTGTGTGCGATGTTTTGAATGCTTGAGCGTTCTTGCATGCATCGAGCAAGCCAGCATCCGATATTCAAATCGGCATGTATGATGTCGGCGGTCAGTCGCAGCCGCCTAATTCCCTACCATTCCCTACCCATTGACAGGGGACATTGCCAGCACCCGGTGCCATCAGTGTCTTGACAGAAGAATCGTTCGATAGGACTGACCCACTATGTCACCCTGCCATTCCAGGAAGCTCACCTGCGGCTTAAGTGTTTCTCCTTCCAATGGCACATGCATGCTTTGACTGCTGCTGCTCTCCGGCGAGAGCTCTTGATGCTGGTGACCTGCCTGGTCGCAATGTGCCCCAGAGCATGGAACCTTGTTTGAACTCAGCTTTTCAGACAGGTTCGATTCACGCGTGTGATTAAAGCTTGCAGAGGTGGCGCCGCAGTGGTTGGACGGCGAGTCCACTCATCGCCAGTCACGGGAACAATTGCAGAAACTCGTCTGCGCCTTTGTGCCTTGGCAGCTTTCAGAGGGTTTCCCCATGTCTTGGGGTTTCAAGCTGGGCTTAGCAGAGGTCCGGTTGCGGGCAACCAACGATTCACAAAACACTGCATCTGCTGAGTACTTGCGTGTCAGGTTGGCAGAGCTTCAGCAGCAGGTCGCTTGGCGTCAGTAGTGACATTTCCGCTGCGGATATGCGCGTTGAGCCTCAATTGACGCCTTGACCTTTCTTGGCTGAGACTGGCCTCCACCTCCTTCTCAGGTCAAGATTGCCGAGTGTCGAGGGTACAACCGCCTGGGCGGCGCCAAGCGGCTCAGTACCAGCTGAGAGATCGAGCTCGTGTTCTCGTCACTTGCCTGCCAGCTGTCCGATGGCACTGGAGCATTCGTGCAGAAGATGCAGCTCTATTGCGAAGCCCAGGAACTGAAGGGCTCCACGGATGGGAGCGACCAGTGGCAACAGCTTCGTGCCTGGAGCATTGGCAGCTTGCATCTTCAGAAAGCAGAAACCTCAACAGCGTCAAACGAGCTGGCTTCCGATGCGGTCAAATCAGCAGTTCTGGTTTCGGCGCAGTCGGAAACTTGGTTGCTTATCCTGAGTGGCAGTGAGGAGCGCGACAGTTTCTTGAGTGCGATGCAGATCTTGCAGCTTTACCAGACACTGGCCGAGCAATGCCCGGTATCCACCCCAAAGAAGGGTGAGGCTGCCACTTTGACGGAATGTGAGGGTGACCGCGCTCTTTTGCGGCAGGGCTCTCAGTTGTTCAGAGATGTGAACACTGTCAATCGGATGTCGGCGTGAAGGCCTCTGCTCGACCAAGGCCACCCGGACGAAGTCCAATCAGCCCGCCGGTGTCGCCCTTTGCATGCAAAGCACCTGCACCGCCCCCGACTCCGCAAAAACCCGATGCTCTGTAGACTCTGTGGCCACATGATACCATCTGAGTCGTGTGGCAGCTCCTTATGTACTCTCGACGAGTGCGAAGCACTGTCTCTGAGAAGCGAAAGCTGCCTTCCGAGCGAAAAGGAGTGGGGAAGATGCAACTCGTGATTAGAGTGGTGAGATTCTGAGGTTGCATGGTTGCATGACTGTGCAGGATGCAAGAGTCACCTTTGAGGGTCTGCCTTCTGCTGGAGGCTTGAGTACCCCATCTACGTCCTCCATACCGCGTCTTGCACTTGAGAGTCGCTAGAGCCGTTACAGGGTTAACCGAGCTGCTTGCAAAGCCGAATGCAGCAGGGGGTTCGACCTACATTGCCGCGTTGCAGCACAGCATGCCAAGGCACATGGAGGGTGCGACGGAGCAGGAACTGCTGATGTGGATGGATGTCGTTCGAACAGCTGCCTCCCCTGGTCCGCGACTCGGCAGAAGGTTGTTTTCTGTCGCACGAGCGAACGTACGAGCAAAGTGTGGCTCATGCTTGGGCGTTCTGTGTGATCACGCGCAGGGCCGACTCAGGCTATCTCAGAGAAAACTGCGAATTCTGGCAATGTCGAACCTTCTAGGCTTGGACATTCGCTTCATCGACGTGTCAGACGACTTTCAATCAGTGAAGCTTGGAGATGGGCAGGTGGATGCATGATTTCTGTTGAAGCGTCGCAGATCAGCATGACTGGCCAAGACTGCAGGTCCGTTTAGACCGACTGGATCTGCCCTCTGCCAAGATTGACCCGGTGGTTTGAGCTGTCATTGTCATGGGCGGTTTCATCTGAGTCTCAAGTTTCCCCGCATCGTATCAGGATGTGGATGGATGCGACACGTTCAGATTCGCCTCGGATACGTAAAGAAAAGCCGCGCCGGCACGAGGCCTATCGCTCAGTGCAAGCGGCAAGCGTCGTCGAAATTTGCAGCTAGCCGATTTGTCCACAGGCAGGGTACCGACACATGTGTCGCTTTCAAAGCTCGAATGTGCTGGAACTGCCAGCTTTTCAGCGAATGCTCGGCACTCAGAAGCCTGCTGATGCGGGCTTGAGAAGCTTCTGCACTTGGGGGTAGCTCTGGGGTGACTCCCCGACATCCTTCGTCCCCTTTCTGTCACCAATGCGTCACGTCTTGCACGGGCATTGCTTCTAAGCTGAGGCGTTACCTGCTGCACTTAGACTCGGATGCCACATTTCAGTGTGAAGGATCCAAGCAGAGAGCATGAGCGATTTGATAACCTTGCTAGAAGCCATTATAAGCCTCTACGGGTAAGCACGTACGACAGGATCCAGAAGTGTGGACCCCTTCAAGGACTTCTACATGCCTACATGTGCCGACCAAGCTTTGGCATCCCAGCAGTCGCGCCATCTTAGGCAGATCTCACAATTGAGGATCTCCGACTGCAGATACTTTAGGATAGTATCTACAACGACACATTGTCTCTTTTTCGGGTGTTCTGGCGGAGACGGAGGAGATGATCAAATACAGATCCGTGTATGGGTCGTGCTCTGAGAAGGGAGGTGGGAGAGAAGGTCAATAGCATTCCGTTGCTCGACAGGCTCTTTGAGGTTGGACTGGAGGATCCGGCACACACGCAGGGGCACTAACCTCAGCAAAATGGGCCACAGTTCTGTGCAGATGGAGTTTTCTGATGTGTGTGCCGAGGTGGTCGAGCTTTGTCAAGGAGCGACTGGCTCAGGGGGCAGGTGCATTGGCTTTCGAGCCTGAGCTTTTGGCTTCGAGTGTCGCTTTAGGTGGGTTCTCCTCAACGACTTGCAGCTCGGGACCCTGTTTCTCACCTACCTTGGCATGAAACAATGGCGCCCTGTGAGGCTTCCGAACCCACCAGCTTTGTTGTCAACAGCTGGAATCAACGTCACTCTTCCAGCCGGAGCGCCAGAGCTTCAGAGGACAAAGCCTCGGCTCCTCGGCTCCGGCAAAGCCGAGGTCCAAGTCGACGGCCTCGAGCAGATGCAAGAAGTACCTCTCGCCTCGCTCTCGCTTACTTGGGGCACCGCCTGGGAGGCCTGGAGCAGTCGCCTTTGCCACTGTCTGTGCTTCTTGCAGCAGGTGCTCGACCTCGACTTCTTCCATCGACCAGATGTGCTAGAGTTCAGCCGTCGTGTCGGCGGACCTGATTGAGAGTGGCAATGCTGACATCGGTTGAAGTCTTGCCTGGCGGGATTCCTATGCCGAGGAATGTGACATGATCCATCCGAAAGCAAACCGAACCAGCATCAACATGTAACCTGCCCAATGCAGTTCAATGCAGTCAGACACTCAGGCCCCGCCTCCCTGCATTCTCAGCATGTCATGCGAACGGATGTGGTGCACCTCTTCAATGTGTCTCCCCAGCTGTGTGCTTTGCTAGTGCCCCGAGTAACGAAGTGCAGGCTCGCGAGCTGCGTTAGCGGGTAGAGTGAAGTCAGACACCGTGTTTCCCGCTTGGCGGCAGCGGCAGGTCGAGGCTACGCTTGGGCACTACAGGCCGTGTTGCGGGAACGACGGTGTTGCCACACGACCAGCGACAGCCTGCAGATGCCTGGAGAAGGCACCTCTGGGGTGACCATCTCATTCGCGCTTATCAGGCCAGGTTCCGTGCCTGCGACTCGCCTTGCTCGTTCTCGCTCACATGGAAGTTCAGGAGCAAAGGGCGAACGGCAGCAACAGCACTAGAGGATTTATTGATCAAGCCCAGAGCATAAGACACCCAGAAATGTTTCTACATTCAGCAGATGCCGGGTTTTTGAGGGGAAGGACCTCGAGAGTGAGTGTGGCCTGCCCCAGATGGTTTCTCGTTGGATCCATTACACAATGCTGAACAGACGTCAGAGTCAATCCTCCTTTTTTGTGTCCTGGCGTGGCTTCTCCGCTGATTGAGCCTTGAAGCTCCTGTTGGCTCGCTCTCCGTCCCTCGCACTCTCTCTCCTCTCTTTCCTTGGTGTGCTTATTCTATACGGACCAGTCTGGCTCCGCAATGGATCCTGGAGGTGCTTCTCCACGCACCGCTCGAGCAAGTACGCTGCTTTGATACCAACGAGCTACATGGCAGGTGGCTCTACTATACATGCAGTACTTGGGACTCAATGTTTAGAGCTGTGAGCAACTCGTGCTGACATCGCCTGTGTGGCACACTCATGACTACCTGGCCTGCAGTCATGGCTGTTCTTCGGATGGGATGTTCGATGCGGAGGAGGCACCGCTCTTTCCATAAGTGGAGGAGTTCAAATTTAGCAGAGGATGGATTATATAATCGTCCGAAGGCAGTTGGAAGACATGTGCAGGTCAAGAGGGGCGAGGACAAGGGCTGGGAGAATATCTACCAGGTAGAGGATGACATTTCATGCCTTGGACTCAGTGGAGAGAGCATTTTTCACCTGAACAGACGAGCATGGAGCCATGGAGCAGGCCCAGACCTTTGGCTGGAGAACGGATTGCGAGGCCCTTCTCGCTGCCTTTCTCTCGGGACCCCAAGACCCAAAGCCGACACTTGGTCCATTGCATGGGTGCATGCGAGCAGCATGCGAGCAGCATGCGAGCCTTTGATGGATGAAGGTCGATATTTGCAACAGCGTGGCATCGCATAGGGGAGAAACAGCAGAACGACAGAAAGAA